GTTTAAAAATAAGCAAACACAGTGAAGACAACGTGCTGGGGACATATCAATATAATACTTTCTTCTTTCTTCTCCTTATTCTCCTTTTTGTTTTCTTTTCTTTCTCATGATGTCTCTAATAAACAGAGAAAAGGATAAATCATCTGACCTACTTCTGCAAAGATCTTGACGAGGCGCTTTACCGTTGCACGGCCACCCTCCTCTACACTCCCTCGTTACGGCCAATACTTTTAAAATTGTTTTGGCTCGTTCATTATTATTGCGCCGTGGTTCTGGCTCTTCTCCGTTATACCTTCTTTTACATCGGTTACAACGAGAACGAGAAATTTGATTATACAAGCGAGCAGAGAAGCTTCAACTAACGTTAAGTTTAAATTATCTCGCTGTTCGTTAAATTTGTGCGCCACCGATGCTTTAACGAACCGTTCTCCTTAAAATTTTACACAAAATTTACGTCATACATTTAGTTTACTCGCAACCGATGCAAAATTTACGCAAATATTCTCTTAAAGTATTTAGTATGCAATGAAAATGTACATTGTGTCGGCAAATGAAATTAGTCGGCCTTAAGAGTCCGAATTCAAGGTGACATAGAAGGAAAATATTGATATATAAAGAATTCGATATTCTGTATTTATTCCATTTATTTTTCTTTTTTCAAATAATATCTGTGCTCGTGCCCTTATATTCAAATATCTACTGCAACATTTGCGTATACAGGACGAGTAACACCCAGGTATTGAAGCCTTGTAATTAAGGTAATACCATATAAGAAAATATGTAATATAGAATTATCTACAGACTGTTCAAAAAAGAATTTGCAACAACACAGTCGAATTTAACAATGCCAATACTAATATCTTGGCAAATGTTTTCATAATATTGTTGACAATATAATTGGATTCATTCGATAAATTTTGTCGACTGATGAGTTTTAAACATTCATATCTTTTCGCTTGATTATTGCCACAATAATAATTTGCAAATTATATAGCTTAGGCTATGTAGATGATGAATAATATTATTTTTCGCTCATTATGTAATTCAATATGTACTTTGATTATAATTATTTCATAGGGAGATTAATAGTTTATTGAATGGATGAAAAAAAAAAGGGAGCAAATTAATGAACAAGGAATAATAGGTAGAGAAAAAATATCGTTATTTTAATGAATTTTGAAGGACATTTCTATACAGAATAAAAAGCAAAAAAAAAAAAAAACAAAACAAAAATACAATATTACAACGCTAATGAATGTAAAGTATACTCTCGTAATATAAACGGCAGAGAGTCGCTTTCGTTCATTACATTATAATCTAAATAGCGGAATACTTTCATACACTATACGAATAGAATAAATGTTGTAATTAATTTGAAATACGATTCAATGTTACAAAACTTTTAACGTTCCGCCTCGATTCATAAAGATTTTTCATTTTAATGAAGTGCTCTCGACATGTAGGTGTACACAAATATAGGAAGAAAATTTCAAAACACTTTGTGGAGCATAATTTTTCAATTTATTAACGATTAATTTACATTGATATAGGCCGGTTACCTTCGTACGTACCAAACACCTAAACAAAAGTGTCGACAAACATTACGAATTAACTATCTAGAAATTCGATGAAAAGGGAAGGTAGTTTAGTTTAAGACGACAATCTCGTGTGGGACCTACCACTGGCTAACTATGGTCAGCACACTCTGGATCGATCGATTGTAAGTGTACACACCCTGTGAGCAACACTCGCGAGAGTCTAATTGCACTAGGTACGAGTACTTGTCTTTGGACGGTCACTCGACTCTTTAGGAAATTGGCTGACGAGTGAGTAGTGGTGGTCGCGCGTGAATTTCTCAGGGGATACTCACCGTGACACTTTGACTGCTGGTGGGACTGGGGCTGGGGCTGGGCGTCGAGTGCGGCGACGAGGAAGCCGCGTCACCTGTTATCGCGACCGGCGCACCGATGCTGGCGACATTGCCGACGGTCGGGAAGGCCCGTGCCGGATCCGCCTGCCATTGTTTGTGGATTTGCTGCGACGTGTCTCGGAACCTCGCCCCCTGCAACAACAACATGTCCCCGTCATTTTTTTACTCCATCCTCCTCGTATAATCGTCGCATTTGTTTATGTTAAACTCGGCTCAAATACGCCAGAAATGGCATTATTTTTCAGCCAATTGCTGCCCCCATTGCCTCGTGCAATTAACGTATTCTTCAATCGCTGAACTTGTAAGTACATTGATTAATCGTATTCGATTTGCTTGCGTCTTCTATTAACCATATCTATATATATATATATATATATATTCTCTCTCTCCCTCTCTCTCTCTCTCTCTCTCTCTCTCTCTCTCTCTCTCTCTCTCTCTCTCTCTCTCTCTCTCTTGCTGCCTCTCTCGCTCTCTCGCTCTCTGAAACACGTACGTTCAATTTGCTCGCGTCGGGCGCGCTTTATGCTTCGAGATTAAATTTTGATGCCATTACCTTTAAATACTAAATATACATATTAAATCTTTAAATACTTTTATAGGCTTAAATTGCATTATCCTGTAATAAAGTTCTAGCAAAACATTGGATAATATATCATCATATAAAGAAATAATAATTCAGCTACATATTGGTTTTGCGTCAAAATGTGATTCAGTGACATTCTCACACAATAGCCTCGCGAGTATAAAATTTATTTTTTAACGATGAAAATAAAATAATGGTCGTATGGCTGTACAAATACCGCAAGTCACAATAACCTTATTAGCACAAACTGCATTGTTATAAATATAGAATGGAATGGTATTTGATAAATCTTAAGCGAAAAAGGAATCGCAACGTATCGCTATTAATGCACAAAAATGCAAACGAAACGTGACTAGCGGAGTAGACTGCATGTCCATAAGTTCACCAGGGAAAGAAACGCTTTTCCCAGGCTTACGCCGTAATCTGCAATTTGCATCGAGTTGCACAGGGCCAAGGGGTAAATATTAGGAGACGCCATTATACGACTGAAGCGTTCCATTAAAGGCCGCGAGATAGGGATAGGAAGAATCCCAGTGCTCGTACGCTGGTGCGCTCGTTGAATGGTTTGGTAGGCGAATAAGTGCGCTTACACAACCATCTCCCATAATGGCAATTAGCATTTAGCAGAAGTAAATAGCGAGCGCCGTCTACCGGTGCTGCCTTACCTGGGATGTGCGCGCGGCCCCGAGTCCCGTGCGTACGTCATAATTTCACTGCGATTTACTCGAATTGCGCGAGGCTAAGTGCCCCGCTGCGACTCCCGAGCACGAAAACACTCTATGATGCATATCATTTTCATTATTTTCTTCACGAGCGTTAGCCGCGCGCGAGCGAAACAATGACGACGACGACGACGACGACGACGACGACGACGAACCACTAAGTATTTGAAAAGCCGCTTTAAGTGAGTTTATGCGAAACACAAATGTTCGATCGCGTCGTTAAATTGTTCGTAGGTGCGATTAATGACGTATAGGAGATATCGGCCGTAGCTGAGAAACCTTACGGATATACAAAAAGCGACTAATTAAATTTATTTGTAAAATTAAATACATTTAACTTTATAAATTTTAATCTCTTGTGTTGATGTGTTGTTGTTTTTGTTTTTGTTTTTTTAACGACACGATAAATACTTTATGCTTGATAGTTGTAGGTAGTATATGTCGCAATTAATTGAAATCGTGGAATAGAAGATAATTTTGATGAAAATCCTTTATTAATTCAATGTAAACGCATAGATGTATAATCATTCAATTACAATATTACGGGAACTTATTATCGTCGATAAAAATTATTTTTGCCAAGTTATTAAACAACGTGCTATAAAAAATATCATTCCACGTATATACATAAACACGCCCAGTCATAAATAATGTTTCGTCTGCGCGTATCTATATGGAAACGGACGACTAAGTTAATTTTCGAACTAATGGATTAGTTTGTAATGCATGAACGCGTTTTTATTTTTTTTTTTTGTTATTTATTAATTTATATATATATATATATATATATATATATATTTTTTTTTTAAGAAAATCGTACAAACTAAAGGAATTGTCTCAGGCAAATTCTTTAAATTCATTGATAAACGCGAAATGAGTACACGTAGACACGCGCGTATGACAATGGTTCCATTAGCCAAGCAATAAAATTTATCTATGAGTCTTCACGTAATAAACAATGAAATAACAAGAATTGATCGCTTACATTATTCATTCGTATTAATCAATACAATGGCACTGATAGTTTTATCGATATTCCGTGGGAAATACAAGCAACTTTTAAATAATATACTATGTTTGCCGACTTTCTCAAAACTTAAGAATACGATCTTCCGTTTTAGAATTTTTGCTTTTTGAGAAATAACCATTAAGTTAGCTACGAGATTATTAACGGAAATAGTATTAAAAGTATTAAAAAACAAAAAAAAAAACAAAACAAAAAAATGAAAAGTTATTAAATGTATTTCGTATGAGGCTAAAATGCGATATCGCGTCTCTTTATCCATATGCGATTGTTAAATAACGAAAAACTCTTTTTCACCTTCGCGCAAGCGTCTCCGCTTACGGGACTGAATTAAAATTGTATAATTCCGTCTCTTTCGCCCGTATCGGCCCACGCGATGCCGCCGATCGTCGATGCCTCCTCGCGCTTAATGTGCGACGTGGGCTCCCCTAGTCCCGATCTACGGGCCCACGCCATGCATTAATTATGCTTTCACGTGCGAATATTGCGTTCGCGTTAAGGATCCCCGGGGATCGCTTTCTCGACAACACTTGGGTCTTGATCGCTAAAATCTCGGCGCCGCCGAGAGAGACGGCTACTTTCATAACCGAGGCTTATGGTAGGTGAATCGTTGAGCTTCACTACTAGAGTGTAAAAGCAAGTGATGTGTTAGAATTTTTTGCTTAACTTATTGAATGACGTAAGAGACGGAAATTGCTATGTGCAAATATGGAGAGGCGATAATATGGGTTAGGATTTTGCGTTTACAACATTAAGATTACAGGAAGGGTTCATTTTTTCGTGGTACAGGAGGGCAAACTTGTTGAACGATATTTTGATAGACAGTTATTTCCTGCAAAAGCCAAGTACTTGTTTTTTTTGTTTTTATGAAAAAGGACGAGTCTTTACTGACGTGTCCTATTATTCCTAATATTAGCATTGTGCCTATTAGTTGTAATGAATATAATGCATTGGTAATGGGTTCTTTTGACGTAGATCCACATGTTTTCAGCATGAAATAACAAATTTCTTTCTAAGCATTGTCTTTTTCTTTTTTTTTTTTTTTTTGCATATATGTAGAGAACCATAATTTTCTACGGCCAAAGGCGTTATCTATTTTACCAAACATTTTCTCACATAATAAAAGTACTTTTAAAGACACAAGGAATACAAAAGCCACAAATAAGATAATAAATCCTATAAATCATTATTCTCATTTATTGTTCATCCATGTACGTAATTTTAAACTTGATAAATATTATGCTTTTTTTTTAAATAGATTCTTTAATAAGAAAATTACGTCACTCTCTGCTTATAATGAATAATAATGAATAATGAATAATAATAATAATAATAATAATAATAATAATAACAACAACGAACAACAACAGCAGCAGTACCAATAGCAATAAAATAATAATAATAATAATAGATTTTACATTTCATGATACAAAAAAAAAAATATATATATATATATATATATATATATATACTTGACATGACGTCTAATAGCTAAATTTAATATTATTTTCATCAATATTTTCATACGAACAAATAATTTAACATTTCAGATATGTAAATGTGCAACGGTACGTAGAAATTATATATTCAATTATACATACATCATATGTTAAAAAAAAAAAAATTACCATAGCATTTCCTTACTGACACAAGAAATTTATCATGATGTTTCTTATGTGCTACAGAATTTTTATCAACTATTCATGAAAAGTTAATGCAAATTAATAAAAAACGACTGTCCTTACGGATTAATAGAAAACATTAGTCAGTTGGTTTCTCGACTTTTTTACGAATTGACTATTCAAGAATTTATATCTTTATATATTCATATTTATTGAAATTACTCTACAGATGCTTCAATAGCCTAGATTTAAAGGCAAACATTAAATAAACTTATTAGCTAACTTGGAAAATTTTTTTTAACAAATTTAATCCACCCCTTTCGTTCAGCAAATATTCATTATTGTTGATTTAACAAAGGGAGGAAAAATTGAAAGTAAATTACAAATAATCAATAATAGCAATTAATTAAACAGTCGAGCGATTAATTAATTAATAAATAAACATAATAAGGACATTTGTTGTAAGTTTCTTGTAAGGGAGAGGCTTTCGATAGACTGTCGAAGCGCCTCCTCGAGCAGACTAAACAATCGGATGCCCCCAGAACAAGAAGGTATAGTAGAGCGGAGATCCGGGGATAAAGAAAAAGTAAATTAAAAGGAAGAAAAGTACAGCCTACCTCGTCGAAAAGGTCATCCAGTTCTTTCTTTGGGATCTTCGTCCTCATCCCGTCGACATACCTCCCGAAAGTCCGTAGACTCTGCCGAGGATGGATCAATGCAATGCAAAAGGACTTGACTCGCGAATGTCACGCGGCATCGTCTTTTTTCTCCTCTTCGACGCCGTCCCCTTTTGTCTCTTCGAACTCGCTTTGCACTGTACTTTTTCTTTCTTATTCTGTCTTTTCTTTTCTTTCCTTTTTCTCTCTTTTCTCTTTGTTTGTTTATTTTATTTTATATTTTTTTTATTTAACTTTTTTCCGCCAGCCGTGTAATTATAGCCGTTGACGGCGAAGGTCGGCACAACTAATACGCCGAGTGTTACTCCGTCGGCGTTAGCGCCTTCTTCGTTACTCGCTTTCCCATCCTCGTTTCACCGCTACATTTAATGAGTTGTCGCGCAAGAAGAGTGCCTGCCACTGCAAACTATCATACCGATTGCGTTTCTCGTTCAGAGTCGTTTGACGTTTATGTATCAGTGTCCTTTTTGCCATTATTTACGATTACGTCGCACTGGCGTTTAG